GAACCTCATTGACAACTTCCTCTACTACCTGGACTCGCATGCAGTAAAATCCACCTTCTGGGGGAAGCATCACGTTTAGAAACTGATTATTAAATCATTAGCTTTAGTTTTCTAGTCAAACAATATGGTACATTTTCTCTCAATCATTTGCAAGTTCGCATTATCACGGAAGATTCCCATAGGAATATCAAAAGCCAAACAATATACCGAACAAGCTTATTTTCGTAACTTCGTCTTCAGGCCTTTACGGTTATGTGTGCGTGTTTATATCTATTGTAGAAAGAAATGTGATTGGACCATAGACGTTGAGCGTGAAAATGCAACAATGTCTATCAAGTTTCATCAGAACTAGTGGATAAAATGGGGACAGTGGGTGAAGGGCAGGGGGGATAAATATCAATTCTGGAATTTTCGGTGACCTTTATTTCACGAGCCACTTGTCACGCCATTTTGCGTCATCACAACACGACTAAGGTCATGGTTCGGGTCATCACGTAGGTTTGGTTGGGGCCAAGGCAGCTGAAGTGCGGCAACCTCATGGGTTCGAACCAAAGTTAGGTCGATGGATTTGCACTTCTGATGAGTACCAACCAGGTCGAAACAGCTGTCCAATGCTTCCTAGTTTTTCGGTTCACGCTTCTTCTGCTATATACACGACGAATTCCCATTTGAAATTGAATCAAATCCTCCATTACTCACTTGAACTATTGAAAACATTTACATTAAGGTTCGTCGGCTATCCTTCTACTCTTTTAGGCTTAAAAACTCAGCGTTCCCCTGAATGTAATTCTTGAATTTGTGATTGCATGCATTCTTCCACATTGGTTGTACTGTTTCCTCGTATATCTTCCTGTTGTTAAGCAGAAAGACTTTATTCTCCTTTCCCGTCTTGGTGGCATTTCAGAGACCGTTTCGGTTAACTTTATTGTGAGCAAACATTTTGATTCATGCGATAGATTTATCAGCCATATCCTGTCAAATGAAAAACACTGCTTGCATGCCCATCTCAATAAATCGGTGTCTCATACGAATACGCTTTCCAAATTGAGGATTCTTTGTGCACGTTCCACCACATACCAAAACAACATCATCATCCCTAATTTTACTCGAATTTTATCAAACCGAGCAAATATCAATACTGACTTGGAAAAGCACCTGTCATATTAGGAGTTTATCGCATCCATTTGTTTTCGTTTAGTAAACTTATATTTCTTCTTTTTTCAATGGGTAACGTTTTCCTCACTGTAAGTTGTCGAAAGTGCTGAAAATTCATCCTATTGGGTGTATGAAGCTTTACTTTTCTTTGACTTTGAATTAACATTACTTCACCTGAATGGCAAGAGTGAATTTGAACTCCTTAACCAGCTAACAGATAATACATCCCTACTCTGTAAATCCTGAATTGACTATTGTGTTCTATCCACAATGCTAATGGCAACAACCTGTCACCTGCAGCTTCCTCCTTAGTTACTCGGCTTGGTCGCATATTTTGTCATCCTTGTTTCGTCATTTACCATCTGCGTCGCATCTTTTCACAGTCTGATTAAATTTGTGCGATTCTTTCAGTTCAATGAGTGGCATGTGTGGTGGGGAGAACGACTCACCGCTATCCATGATACTGCAAAGGATAATATATTTGTACCCGGCGCTTCAATGGATATTCCGAAGAAATAAGCACATTATTCTACCCACTGTTACCTCATTCCCGGTGTATCGACTTGTTTGGAAAAAATTAATCATGTCATAGCTTTTGCTCCCGTTCGGGTCAACGTTTGACTCGTCTAAAATACACGCACTATTTTTATGCAGGTTGTATTGACTTGATTGGGAAAATTATTCACGTCACTAGTTTTACTCCGACTCGGTTCGATTGACTGTGCACTCATGTGACCCTTTACACAGATAACCTTCGAATGTATTTTGCCCATCAACATGTCCCGATTTGGTTCGTTCGATGGCATACTTGGTACTTTGTTGTTATTATTCATATGCCGCGTCTAAGCGTTCCTCGTTCCATTCATTTATGGTCATTTACCATTATCGACCTTGATCGCTCGCGGTTCCGCGCTTACCAGTGTCGCGTGTCATTACATACGAACTACCCTAGATCCCTTCCCCCACCCGCGTTTGGCTGTAAAGTAGGAGTCAACTTTGATTTGAGTGGCGAGTGATTCAAGGAGAGAAACTAACTGCAGTAGTCACACCCATTATCTTGTGAATGCCAAGTGTCTCGTCAAGTGTGCATTTCAATGTCAGAAATACGCAAGCAATCGCATCTGATTCAAAGTACTCGGTTTTATTCGAGAGAAACTCGGTCTCAATGGAATTTACACAGCGGGTTATTGAAGGCTTAACCTGAATTCATTTATGAAATGAATCACGCTCACATTCACGTCTGGGTGACCGACTTATCGATCCATCTTGACGTGATTCGCTTCCTTACCCGACCAACAGAGGTCACTTGAATCCAGGTTCGTTCATTCACGTCTATGACGCACACTCGATCAACGATCACGGACATAACGTTCCGGGGTGTAATGTGTGTGTGGGACGGTGGGACGGGCGGGGGGTTAGAACGGCCACCTCACGCCACAAAATCATTCNTTCTGGCTCGGTAAGTCAGTCAAAAAGTCCTTTTGCTTGTTTATGAAGAAGTTAATTCATTCGGACTGGACAGGGTTTAGACAGGCCCGATTCAATCGGTGACGTTTGACGGCTGAAACACAAATAATCTTCTGGGGTTCCCAGTGGAATGTGATTGGTTGGATTCACTTGAAGTTAAAAGGTATAGTTTATTGTCATTCCATCCACTCTATGTTGGCCTTCATATTTGATCGTTCGATTCATTTGCTCATCGGACTGCTTTGTTCCATGGGATCCCGTAAACCGTTTGTGTGCCTTGCATTGACCAATGACTGTGCTTCATTATCGAGCACTTGCGATTGGTGTTTCTATCCCTTAAATTGTCCTGTTCCTGTGCATAGTTTGCATTCCTTTTGGTGCCCACTCTGCAGGCGCTTTGTTCTGTGCCTTAACCCAATTTGCATCGTGTTCTTGTACCGTGGAGACCGGATTGATCCAAAATCTAAGATATGGTGTTTGTTTTTTGTACATATCTGCCTGCTTATAGTACACTTGGATTATCGACTTCTCGTTATCTGGATTCAGAATGGGTGGGATTCGTATCTACGAGTCACTCAACCACTGGATGACAGTCTGATACACCTAGAATCCTAGAATTCTATAAATATATAACAAAGTGACATGTGCGATAAGGCTGAACGTTTTCCCCTACGTGCCTTTGATAGACGCAGCATTCAGCTGCGTGGAACATAAGCATAAACTGGCCTACCGATTTCGGACAATATGGTTATCTTATCTGAAAGTAATAAGCAATTAGGTAGTGATCACTCCTGTCGTTCGCTGTTCTCACATTCCTAAATCCACCGCCATGAACCACTTTTCTGTATAGGGTGGGGAAATAACTGGAGATTACCTCTTCAGCTGATGCGCTATTCCAGAGCGCAAGTAGTGGCTTACCAAATCTACGCCTCATTTTTACGATTGCAGAAAAAATAGGTCAAACACAGATAGCTTAACTAAATTTTTTATCATATTGTCACAACACTGAATATTTTGGTAGTCCAACCAATTCACACGATCTGTCCCATGCAAATTTGCGTTCCTGTTCGTTGTGCGCAATAGCTTTAGGAGATGTGAGGGCACAGTTCGAGTAGTATCCACCGGGTTTCGGATGTTCAACGAGCACAGTGTACAAAGTGGTTTGTGTTCCTTCCCATGCACTGATCGAAAGCGGCCTCAGAAATCGCAGATGCCATAACTAAAAGCAAGCGAACCAAGCGCAAACATGTGGGGTTATCCTAACATTCCTATAATAATATGAAATGGAACGTATGTCAGATTGCGTAACTTCAATCAAATTTGTAAATCATGGGCTTCAAACTATTTCGTACATAATCACATTGATAAAAGGAAATGATAAATCAAGACTAGGCTTTCCATTGTTTCATAATCTACTCATTTTACAATTTCGCTTGGACGGCTTTGACCATTAATGCCTTCACACTGACTAATTTATGCAACACCTGCTCATAACGAGGATATCAGAAAAAACCTGAACAAGGTGATAAAAATATATTATAATAGGATAAAACAAATGATAGTAACAATAAATTAGTAAAAAGGACGGTAATTTTAGACTAGCAAGCTTGGATTAGCCCATTCGTTTGTTCAGGGGCACCAGGCACTCTTGATGTTCTTGGATGTGGGTTTCACTCCTTGGGAAATCGTTAGAACCCACTAGTTTAATACAGCTACATGTGATAAAAACGTTTGTGATAACCGACAAAGAGCACTGGACAGTTAATTCCTCCTGTTTGGGACTCGTCAGCAGTGTGCACTTTTTGTGTCCCCGTTAGGACTCGAACCGCAAACATTCGGGTTGGGACTTCAAATCCTTAACCCTGAGCTGCACGGTCGACGGGTATCACCTTGTGCGAATGGCTCAAATATTTACATGGCATTTAGATGCATTTAGTTAGTAGGGAATTAACGATCGCCCATTATGTGCATCATGCGGCTGATATCGAAAAGTCAACTCGGAAATAACCCAAAAGTCATCCATACTTATTTTGAAGAATTCTAACTACAGGGAAGACTTTTCCCATCCATTTCTCGGAGATCCCGTGGTGTTTTAAGTTTTCCAATCATCAACGGTGATAACTTTTCTCTAGTCATACTACTTCAAAGCAGTAAAGTGACCCGTTCTTTGGATTTCTTAAATCCAGAAGCGGCTTATTCTTTGGGACTTAATGTTCTTCCTAGGAATTGCCTGTAATATAAAGATGCTTCATCTGCATGATTATTATCACAGTGACCAACTTCGTGGATCAACTGCCGTAATCTCCCTCGAAACGCGTGCATTGCACCACCTGGGATCGGCAAATTTTACCCAAACCCTATAAAGCAATACCTATGATTATCCTCTTGTCTAGTACTTTGTACGATTGAATACCACATCGTTCTGACCGAGAGTGAAACCAGCCTATGGAAGTTGTGGTGATTCTAGCCTAGGAGATAACGCCAACCACAGTGCTACGTGGTACAGTTTCTGAGCCACGAAACACATACCAATAATGCCAACCAATCAGAAGCCGTGCGGTTCAAACGAAATGTGTATGACGTCAAGAATGCAAGCAAGCCATTAGGGAAGACCTGTTTAACCAATGACGTTTATATAATACCACTGATTTTTCCCAAGAAGTCAACCGCTACAATTTTCGCCGTTTTCTTGCGTCTGAGTGACGGGAGATTCCAGCCCATGGTTGCTAGTGTGATTTTGTTCCTCACTTGCGACCGTCATCATCACAAAAGCTTTGAATTCACTATGATGCATTCGTTGTGCTAGCAGGATTGGCTTCCTACAAACGATGCGATGCACTATGGGAAACTCACCACGCTTTTCCTTTAGAGCAGTAAACCAAGTCAAGGTCTCTTCATTCACTGTCATGAAGCTTTCAATCGTTTTCAGGTGGCATCTTTTCTGACATGCTCTAGCGTTCACAAATTGTCCGATAGTCTTTCAATGGGATATAAGATTGTAAACAATTTTTCTGGAAATACCAAGTCACTGGCTACAGAGCTCATATTTGCATCTAACTGATTCAGCATTTTCAACACACATTCTGCATCTCGCTGATCCATAAGCGCTTGTCCAAGTTGGATTCAGTGATCATTCGTCTGCTTTTATGGAGAATAATTAGCGAGGCGACGTTGTACATTCTTGAGAGAGCTTGTTTCAGTCGACGTTTTGATAGTTTATCATTCTGATCACCTTTAAAGGGTAATGTTATGAGAACATTTTTCTTTTGGTACGTCGTTTCTCCTGGTTCTGGTCTCTATTCCGCTGCTCTACTTGGCAAAGAAATTCCGCGGATATCCGTTGTCCTGTAATGCACAGTATATCAGTTCAAGATAATTTTCAAGTGTTTCTGAAGAAAAAATTCGTTCCGCGCTAGAAAACGGGCCCTTTACCATGGCTTGCTTGTATTGTATTGGACAGAAGCTTCTGAAGTTCGGATACTGTCCGGTCCTCTGACCTTCGCACTGATTTTGTCTAGTCCAGTGTTTTAGATGTTTAAAGATTTGTCATTGTCCCGATCGATCTTTCGCATGAATGTTTGTACACAGCTGAAGAGATAATGTGAAACAGTTAAATTCAATCTATCCTGTGACGATGTTTGTTCTCGCTCTTATGAAATTCCTGAAGTGAACTGGATCTATGAAATAAACTCATTATTGCAATCGATTCAACAAAACACCGGAGCCTTCAAGTGTGGACGGGAAAAACGATCTAATCAATCAAGCAAACTGTTACTCTAACCACAGTCTTTTTAGCCAGTTACCTCAGTCACTCACCAGAAAGGTATTATTCAAATTTCTTTGTATTTCCGTCCGCACCATTCCAGGATGCAAACTAACCACAGTAACGTTTGTCCCCTCCAAACGTTTGCTTAATTCGATCGCATGCATTACATTGATCAGTTTGGAAGAGCTGTAGGCCCGTAAATAACCGTAGTTTTGGTCGGTCATCTGTAAATCCGGTTTATACAACTGGCCCCATTTATGAGCGATCGATGACACAATAATGATACGCGATGGTGCTGCCGCTTTCAATGCGGGCAGCATGAGCTCGGTGAGAAGAAAATGGCCCAGATGATTCACACCCAAGGTCATTTCAAACCCGTCTTTCGTTCTAGAATATGTTGACAAAATCTGTCCAGCATTATTGATCAGCAAATGTATGCTACTGTATGCCTTGAGTATGCGATGGGCGAATTGTCTGACTGATTGGAGGGATGCCAGATCCAGCTTCTCAGGTATTAACTGAAATTCAAAGAGATGTTTTACAGGGGTAGTTTTGCAAGACGGAAAACGGTGTTAAATACGTGAGATTTCATTGTGTCGTACTGGAAAAAGATTAGAAGTATGAATCAGGATAATTCTCGCCGTTTGCATTGGAAATGGATTGGGATCAGCCACCACTGTAAGAACGTGTTGGCCTTTTTCTCCAGGGTCTTCCCCATATAGTCATCTCCCTATCGGCGACCTCGTAACCCGGATTTCGAGCAAATGAGTAGACTGTGATCAATCCCACATAAGCCGCACACCTCTCCCTTTTCTCAATCCACGTTTGACTGGCACTACCAGTAAAGGCTTGCGCTGTTTGCGAGTGCCTTCGTTGGGATACGTTTCGTAGAACCGGGTCCAGTGATGGCTTTAGCGAGACACAACACAATTTTGAATTATGTATTATTATTATTATGTATTAATTCATTCATTTTTAAATATTATGTGTATATCGGGTCTTTTCACTCCTTTTTTCATTCATTGAATAAAATTCAAATGTACAGTCAATCTTCAGGAAGGGGAGCTTAGGCCAAACAAATTCTGTCTCTGAGGAATGTGATCTGTTAGCTGGGCTGCACAGGGTATTTTGGAAACGCTTTTCTGCTCCAATTTGCCAGAAACATGTTTTACGGTATAGCAATCAAATATTCTATATTGGCTGTTTATGCTGTTGAATGCCTTTAGCTACTAAATCATACAGTGACACTGAAATCAGATTCACTACACTAATCAATCGGTTGACACTCTTGAGTGAACAGGTAACTTCACCCATTTACAGAGGAGGCTGTCCCAGTGATCCCGCCAACTATCATCCTGTTAGACTTCTTCTGAAACTATTGAAATCCATGAAGACTATTGTCACAGATCTTTTGACGGAATATCTCTTGCTCAGCACCGACTTCGGCACAAATCTATTTCTTGCATGAGATGAATGGACAAAAACGGTCACTAGTTTATTTGGGCTACTCTAAAGCATTTGATCGTGTAAAGCACCAAATATTACTGCTAAAACTCTAGTATTATGGAGTGAGAGGTTTGTCTCGCGACTGGATGAGGGAGTTTCTCTGACAAAGAATTATGTCAGTTCGTGTCTGTCATTCATTACATGGATCTATTGAAGCTGTCCGAGAGGTTCTGCAAGTATCCGTACTGGGGCCTCGTCTTTTTCTTGCATTTATAAACGATCTATCCTACGTCTTTGGGACGGATACACTAATCGTCCCGGACGACGCTAAAATGTGGAGGACAGTAGAACGTCCAGAAGATTATTTGGCACTCCAAGCAACAACTGTGCCAGAGCATCATCCATGGTTTCAAAGCAAGTTGGTCTAGTCAGACGTGCTTCCTAGCAGTTCTGAAAAGCACTGTTGCCATGCTTGCTATCAGCGTTTATTCGGCAACACACGGAATACGCCATTCAAGTATGGAATCGACGGTTGAGCCGCCACAAGAAGGGTCTAGAACGTCCGCAACGGTTGGCATCAAACATGGTAAAAAGTCTGTAGAGCAAGACATACTCCGGAAGACTGCGAATATTGGAGTTCTACTCGTCTCAGTACCGTCGACTTCGGAGGGACCTAGTATTGACATACCGCAGACTGCATCAACCCAACAACCCTTGCCGTTCTGTCTTAACTTTAGCTCAAAAATATCATCTCAGGGGACATCCACTGAAATTGTGGACCCATAAAATTTACCTACCGACCTTGCGGGCATTACTCGTGTGTGGTCAGGGTTTGTGGTACGGATGGAATTCTCGTTCACCCAATATTGGGTATGCTCCTACAGCTAGCTGAACTGTTCGAATCGCAGCTCCGTAGAGCATTGGAACACTTAACATTCCAACATCTGTGTGAGTGATCATGCATATTATTATTATTATTACCTATTTGTTAAGTTTTCCGAAACTTTCTGTAAAACTTATATGGAGCATAAAAAGCGTTAGCTTTGTTGAATCGTTCACAATGTAAAACCTTGAAATTTGAACTTCATATGTCGCCTATTCGATTCCCAATATCAGTAGGTACTGAAAATGTTATGCCCAAAAATGGATTGATGATCAGGCTGCGTTGTAAAAGCCACGAACAAATCTAACAAATGCTAAATGAAAACGAGTCTGGAAGCAATAGTTGGACCATATGTTTTGGGTATGTATGTATAGATTGTACAAATTAGTTTACATTACTGATACTGTTATAATCATTTACATTTGAAACGAAGAATAATGTGGACGTTCTACGTTGAGCAACATGTCGATTCTCGCGTGGTGAGTTTTCCACGTGTCACGCGGTAAGCGCATGCACAGACCCCTTACTCTGAATAACTATGAACCCCCACCCCCACCCCCGCCCTCCAAACTGGTTACACAGATACAAACGCTGGATAGCAAAGAAACTGGATTCCTGCATATTCGGTAGTCAAGTAGTTGGAGGTATCGTGCATCATATCATTTGTGAATAATGTTCATGCTAAACGGCTGCGATCTACCAGTCCAGCTCTATCAACGGTGCAAAAAGAGCACACACGAGAGTTGAATACAATCGAATGATCAACGTGTGAGGTATGTGTGGTGATGTGTGCAGATAACACACCACGGGTCGACACGGTGCAGTGTAATGAATCAAGCTTCTCAGGTGACGTCAGCCGATTGTACCAACCAATCAGAGACCGTGCGGCCCAGGCAGAAGCTGAACAACTCCCGACATACCAGCACGCGATTGACAGAGGCTTGGACAACCAATGAACTTTTGTACACATTATTTAAAACCCATGCTTTTTTCAATAAATGAACTGTCATTCCTTTGGCCTTTACCTCGAGCCTCGGTTACGTGGGATACCGTCGTGCAAGTACCAGTGTGATCCAGTGTTTACGTGGCCTCCATGATTGCTAATCCGTGATTCGTATTTCGTGATTAGTTCGTACTACAATTACTACAGGATATTTGAGCCAGATGAACAGATGGCTTCTATTTAACCCTTAAGAGGTCGGTCGAGTAATATTACTGGTCGACGGCATTGAAATCCAGAGCCTCCATCAACCCCCTCCCCCACCCTCCTCTCCAAAAAGAAGGTTTTGCAAGCAACGCACATAAGAACGAAACGCATAGTTAGATCTGTTCGGAGTCTAGGCCAAAGTTGAGTGATGCGCCAAACCAAATGATGAATTATGACCAGAAATCTGGTAGTGATGATTCAATGCAACGAATGAGCTGGTTTTCTTTAGGAAGTATAATAACCACAAGACTGAGCGACTTAATACTTTAACAGCATTGACTGCGAAGTGTGGAAAACGTTCGTCACATTGTTCGTTTAAGTTCCTTCCCCATTTGGCTTGCAAATGCATCAAGCGTTTAGTGATTCTCCTTAATTCTATTTGAAAACAAAGTCCGGTAGGCGAAACAAGCTGTTTTTCGATGAATTTGTCAACGGGCCATTACAGTTATATAGCGCGGTTATTTGGGTTCGTCGATCTGGGTTTAATCGCATCACACTAAGTACAGAATGTATGCTACGATTATTTACCTGATATTCATCTCTATTAGTTCGTTGGTGCGTCCCCCGGGAGTGGGTTAGCTTTCTTCATCCGAGGCCAAACCCCGAACGAACTGCTTTTGGTTGCACAAGAGGGCGGGGGATCTAATGTTTGGATAGCTATCGTCTCGGCTGTGCATAGAATGATAGACCGAAGGCGTTTCGGCAGAGATCATGGAGTGTGGTCAATGGGGCGGAAAGCCTGATCAATCTTGATAGTGTGCCGTGTCTCCAGTTTTTGTTGACAGATAACCAATTGATTAATTTATCGAAAAACAGCTTTCTTCGCCTATCGGACTTTGTTTTCAATGTGGCAACGGGCATTTTTCATTTAAATTCTATTTGAATTAGGACATAGTTACATACATACATTGTCAGATTGATACACGATCACTCACCTGGTGATCTTCAATGGGGGTCAGCGAGGCTTCCACACTTGGATCGGCCACATCGATTTTCATCCACTCCGCATTAGTGGTGCCATAACGAGACAGAAGTAGTTGTTTTGCAGCTTTTGCCCGTTCAATGTTTCTGCATGCCATGACCACAGTGGCACCGCGACGTGCCAATTCTCCAACAGTACAGAATCCGATACCCGTGTTAGCACCAGTTACCACGGCCACTTTCCCCTCCAGCCTACCGGGAATTATACAACTCTTGGTAAATATCCCTTTCGTCTCTGGTACTTTTTTAGACATTTTAATTTCCACTCAAATTTGATAAACTAGACTATATGATTCGCAGTGTTTGAACAACTAACCAAGCTCTGTTATTCATCGATTATCACTTATTCACGCACTGTTCGGTCCGATTGGTCAAAAGCGCTCAAATTGAACTTGCACAAAGTGATCAGCTTTGTGTGGAAATGCGGGCTTGGATACATTTTGCGTCATTGAATGTTACATACGGCTAACTGTATGCCTTTCAGGTAGAATGGCCCACTATAGATTCACGAATACAGGTCAATAAATTATCGACCATTCGCAAGTGTCAGATCAAACAACGGTACATAAGCAATCATTTTCAAAGATCTTGTAACGACTTTCATCCTCCTAAATCGCGGACAACGTACGTTCGAAATATATCATCACCTCGTTATACAAACAATGAATTTGAGCCTTCTTTTGCTTTTTTTGCAATAGCATCACGTGAGCAATGATCCACTGCCGTGGGTGAACATCATTCGTCTCGAGCGACGCGACCTTCAGGGTCACGAGAAAACAATTGCGGCAGTTCAAAGTGGCGGCTCGAAATCAGAAAATCTGTGACAGAGCAGCATGCAAGTTCATTCTTTCCCATAAAGCACTATCACATTGGCTGCCTTTTTGGCATTCGTGTGATCGCACTGGCGCAGCTTCTGGTGGATGATTGGTTTGACACCAGACAGAGAAAGATGATCTACTGGTCTATTTTTCTAAGGGAATCTATTTCTCCGGTCAAAAGAAGCATATACTTATTTTGATTAAGTAACAACCCATCTTTGCGAACTTGTTACGAGTATCGGTCCCCGTTGATCTCATCACTTGTTTTCAGGAGGTCGTCTCGATTGGAATCCTTCACAACGTGACTATTTGTTGCATGAGAGTGGCGGAGGACTTGATTTTTTTATATAATGAATTCGTTTTGTAAATGAGGCTTGAGCTAAAAAGCTGGGAAGCAGTGGACACTAAGATGAGCGAGATCCATCGACCGCAACAAGCTAGCAAAAATGAATTGTACTATATAGTGTATAATAAAAATGAGGAATGGTTTGATCAGGTGCCTGTTGGCAAAATGGTTAGTGTGCATGCATTCTACCTGTAAGGTCCCGGATTCGATCCCCATTTGGGCCGATTCACACTGCTGATCAGACCGAACCGAGTAGGAACATCTTTCCAGTGCTTCCCAGTCTATCAATTCATGTCTCATAAAGAAATCAAATCCTCCTCCATTACTGTCATACAACAAATCTTCGTTTTATCTGAGGAAATGAATGAGAATCAAATACTGAGGACCCCATTGTTGAGCTCCCGTACACAGTCATCCATATACCGCTAAAAGCTTTGTACCGGGTTTGACCATTCTAAAAACCAGAATTGTAAAAAGCCATAATTTCCCAAGAAAAGATTCCATTTCTCATCTCACGGGAGGGCATCATAGTATCTTTTTAAACTTTATCATTTATTTACCCACATTTTTACTTTTTGTGGATTGGCATGTTGCAAAATCGAAATCACCCAATGGTTGCCTAACAACCCAGATCCGAATGCAATCAAAAATGTCACCTACTTTTCAGTATTGAGACAAGTTATTTACCTAGAGAGCGGTCGTTATGTGTCATGATGTGACATATTTTGGAGTGAACTTGATGGAATCTATAAACAAAGGGCTCAAAAACAAAAGAGGGCCCAAAGTGTATTGTTAAAAGGGCAGAATAGCCCCTGTGCCATTCCTATGCAATCTTATGGAGNCAGAACACTGTATCGAGAACATGCTTCGTTCGATAGTGTCTGCTTAAATTCTGAGTATATTTTCAACTGAGGCTTCTACGTCTTACAACTGATGCCCATCACCAACTGTCGTCGACCAGAGAAGGAATTCCACTCTGATAAAACCTTTGGCCAACGAAAGCAACAACAGATATGTTTTGTCTGGTGGGAGGGA